CGTAACGTGGCCCGTCTGTGTGGAAGCAAAGCACCCGGTCCTGGCAAAGGAGTTGTGCAGGGGCATGCGAGCCCCAGCTCCTGCCATTACTCGTTCTGCCCCCACGGGGGTGGACGGCGCCTGGAGGCGACAGCCGGCACACGGCTCTGGGGTTCAGTGGTCACGGGGCTCTGGGTGACAACGAAATGGCAGGGCGCAGGTAGGCCCCTCAGCCAGCCCTGCAGTGGTGCATGCACTGAGGTGCTGCATGCACTGAGGTGCTGCCACCAGACTGAGGGAAGCTAAGCCAGGCAGGTCAATGTCACCACAGGAGGGGTCAGTCCAGCACTTTGGCAGGTGGAGAACTCGGGTGGAGGAGGAGGAAGTCTGTCTCAGCTCTGTTCTGCTAAGGGCTGCACACATTATCATAGCACCTGTGTGAAAAAGGCCCAAAGGCTGAGCACTTGCTCCCTTGCAAGAAGGCTGCTGATGAGAAAGGCTGCAAGGCTCAAATTCTTTGGTAATAGGTTCTACGTAAGATGACTAATTCAGTGCCATGGGACCTTTTACATCTGTTCTCAGTAATGACCACTGTCTTGATCAAATTTCAGCCCAGTAGTTATATTTTACCTAGTGAAGTTAAGTCATCTTGGTATCAGTTTCTCATTCCCAGGTCTCAACAGCTGCCAGGGCTGAGAACAGCTGCGGTACAGTACCACAGCAGCCTCCATCAACTAGTGACATGGCTGCGATGTGTCATCATAACCTTAACGGTTAACAGGTTAAGAGGGAAAAACAGCACTCCTCCTCCTGCCTCAGGAGTGCCCAGGCTGAAACCGCCTCAATCTCGTGTGAAAGAAGCTACGAATACTCACAAGTACTACATCTACCTGGCGATCTTAGGTCCATTCGGCACATGCACTTAAGTTAAGAAACCCCAATAAAATCATCTTATAAAAATAAATTCAATAAATTCTGAGAAAACATACCTTTAACTTGTTTTCTGAAGGGTACTTAGAAATTTTGAAATCTCCATTCATCCTACAGATGCTTAATTCTAGGATTGAAAGCAATATTCAGTTTTTAGAATTATACTGTTTGTGTTTTAAGTATTGCTTCTCTACTGACTGCATATACACATTACCTGAAGTTCACACAAGGGTGATATTAGAAGAAATTAAAAGCAACTACACTATTTAGCATAGACTCATCTGCTACGACTGTAGCTTTGAGCTTTTGGTATTTTCTCAACCTCTGGACACTAACAGATATATCTTACAGTAGAACTACACTGTGGACCTGATCCATTGCTGGCATCTGTTTAAGAATGAACAAACACAGACAAAGAGGTTATAAATATATAACTGTTTTATTTTTAATATTAAATATTTTTAAATTACAAGCAGTTTCTTGAATCACACTATGCATGATAATCAATATACAGTAGAAATTACAATTTAAAAATGTACACAATTTAAAGACATTGTGACCTGAAATTTCATTAACTATGATATATTGCCATAAACCTCATACCTGTATTAAATTACAATAGGAAAACCTCATACCTATGATTTTGTTACATAGTTTCTCATTTACAAATAGAATTAAACATTATATATACACACACATCAGTACCATTTATCATTTAAGTTACACCTACATCTGTGCAAGTTCAAACAATTTCATAAACAAAACTAACTGTAAGTCATATTCAAGTTTCTGAAAAACAGGCTGCTGGTATTACAAATACTTATTTTCAATAAGTTTATATGACATTTGACTCTCCTCTAGATTTTTTCCAGTCTTGTACCAAAACCATTAACATACGAGGATATTTCTGTATGATTTAAAGCTGAAGTAATTTTGTACACTCCATTCTTATTTAAGGCTATTTCTTATAAGGCTAATATACTTGGATTCCACCTTTCACCAACTCAACAAAAATAGCCATGTCACTAACACCTGACAATGCTGACATTTTAGCATAGTGCTTAATCATAAAAAAAAAAAAAAAAAGCCTTTCTACCGACCAGCCTCCTCATGAAAAAGATTGAGTACTACATAAAAATCTGCTAAAAATACTGATAAGAAGAATGAGGCTTAAATGGCTTTCATTAGTGCATCAACAAGGATATGAAAAAATGCTTAATTCTCTCATTTCCATGAAAATGGCAGTTTCCATATATGCAGTTATACACGCAACATATCTGCAGCTTGGGGATTTGGGAGAGTACAGGTGTTTCCGTTAAAAGTGGACACTTCTCACTCTGTTGGCTTCTCACTACAGACCCTCGTTTTTAAACAAACTTCCTTAGGTGGGAATAATCAGATCTTTTAAATAATTGAGACAATACCTTCATTGTTCCAATAATCACTGTATTCTACTAGAGAAGGAATTAAAATGTAACCAGTCCTCATAATAAACCATTGAAAATAGATACATGTACTTCTAAAACGGAAACCATGCTTAAGTAGCTAGTGCAAGAAATTACATATAGTTTAATGAATGATTTGTAACAAATCCCCTTATTATAATGTAACATGTTGGAATTACTGATTCATCTTCATTGTGCCACTGACTGCTAGGCAGGTATTTAAATATTGCTAGTAGCTGATCAAATTTTCAACTAGAAATTTTTCAAAAAGAGACCTTTTGTATTATTGCAATCCAGCCTACTGGATTACTGAAATTATAGTTCATCCTTTTAAGTGAGGTGAGTCAACTGTAAATATGTCTTTCTCTTCATTGTACAGCTAAAAAGGATATTACCTTGCTTAATATCATACATAACCCAGCTCGTTTTGGAAAAAATGCTCCTTTGGCAATTCATTAGCAATGAGTCCATTTGGACAAAGGAGTTCAATTTCACTTCCTATGTACGATTTTCTTTAAAACCAGGTAAAGAATAAAAATCTTAGATTTCCATCAAGCAAAGAAAATTCCTGATGTACAAGAGAAATACCTGATTTTCCAGAATTGTAAGAAACAAAACGCATAACCAAATTATAACATTCTGGTGTACAAGGTTTTCTTTAACCTTGGATTATATTTTAAATTAAATTATTCAAAACAAAGGCTGAACTTCAGGTCTGATAAAGTAGATATTTCACCACGCAAGGCAGATAAGCCCACACGTTCTTTGCAGACCATTATGGATTTTCATTCTTAGTCTTCATTTTCCATACTTAAAGTATGGTGAGAATTACAGAAGACAGGTGAGATACCTTAATCTAGCTGTATCAGGGAGTTTAATGTTGGAATTATGGAATTTTTAAGCAACAATTTGTGCACAAAGTCTATTACCTAAATTTTAAAATATTGAGAGTAATGCACAGCTTCCCTAAACCCTCTACAGTATATACTGTAAGCCTGTACTAAGAACTACTTGGCTTTGCCTCTTAAATCATGTTTTGGGAAAAGTCCATGGAAAATTCAGTTTCTTACCTCATACAGAACAGTTCTGACTAACTCTGAACCTGAGTGCCTCATCAGAAAAAGTTATCTCAACAATACATTGGCAACTTTAAATAACATTGTAACTAAATCATTCCCTTTTGATTGGTATAGAAACCATTCTGGTTAAGGGCTAAATAATGCTGGAAAAAAGCAATTAACATATTCCTGTCATTTTAAAACATACTTAAAAAATGAAAATGCATATAGAGGTATACAAAACCAAACTTCACACATCTGAAAATATCTAGTCCTCCCATACTTCATGTGATGAAAATTCTCTGGTGACTGGATCTGAACACAGAGCACTTGGACCACCGCTATAATGAAGCTCTGCCAAAATAGCCACTAAAATACAAAGTACTTCATATTTTAGTATACTAAAATACAAAATACAGAGCCAGGTAAACTGTTCCTATCAGTGTTTCCTACAGATCCACAGCTGCGTAAGGCATTCTGAGAGGTCAGGGATCTGTTTCTTAACTGAACTCACTCTGGAGTAATAATTAAGGATTTTTTTTCCCCAAGCAGTTTAAAGGATTAAACTAACTGAACACATGGTAGAGCATGAAGGTAAAAAAACACCGCATTGTATTCCCTTCCCAACAGACAGCTTCAGAGCAAACTTTACTATACTGCATCTTTAGGTCAGTATGCATTTCAAGATGTACCACAGCACTTTGCAGACATCTTAAAATAGGTGCAAAATTGGGCATTAACCATTCATCTAATTCTTAATTCTCATAACATCACTGAGAGGTAGATTTACCACAGGCCTCTGAATGGCAGCCCCAATCTGCAGTCAGCAGAAGAGCGAGCTTCAAAATTCACAGAATGTACAACTGAAGGGCCAAGTATGCCCAAATCCAGTCTATTGAAATTAGTCTTTTTATAAGATTCATAAATTTCACAGTTTTGTACAGCCAATTTTTCTTCTTCTCTCTCCAAGGCAGAAATTGTAGTAAAAACTGGAAGGCCCTTAGTTATGATATAGTCAGATGCTATTACAGCTTAAGCAGTCAGTAGGATCATATTCAGGAATTAAGAGACATTATCTCTTTCATCTAAAAATTCCAGAGTATATCATATATTCTTTTCCAGTTTCCTATAAAACATGAACACTAACAATCAATCTATAATCATTATCATTTAGAAATGGTACTGAATATAAGATTTCAGCAAATCTAACATAACACTCAGAAGTTATGTATGTTTTACAAGTACCGTGCATAGCAAAGGCTACAAAAAAGACAAATTAAACTGGGTAACCGGGCCAATTCAACTTGTCTTATTTTCCTTGAAAGATTTAAGATTTTGATTCTGTACACCATCAGGAAAACAAAGGAAGAATAATCCATAGTGCAATTGTAATAAGCAAAGTAATATGTAGTGATAT